AACCGACTCGATATTTCGGTTTATAAATTTGCCCAACCCGAAATCGACCGGTGCTGATGAAAACCCAACCGACTCAGGTTGGGTTGGTCTAGGTTGGTCGGTTTGGTCGGGTTGTGCCTTCTTATGAACAGCCCTACCAAGTGGTGGTTAAGCAATTCAATCATCTGAATCAAATTGATCAATCTATGAAGTCGATCATAGTAAGGTAATAAAAATTTTAAAATAGAAATAAATATATAAAATTATAAAAAAAGTAGAAAAATTAGACACATTTATGTAATCAAATTATTTTTATTGATAATGAAAATGAAATACATAATCTAGAACTAACAAAAAATGAAATATAAAAATTAATAATAAATAGTTCAACTTTTGGGTTAAAATGTATTAAACTTTAATGTTATAAATAAATAATAGAATATAAAAATACAAAAATAAAAAAATACATACATTTTGCAAAAAAAAAAACATTTAGACACATGTATAATATCATATATTTATCATATTAAACAAAAAGTAAGTGTAAAATATCATAATTAGTTTTACAAACAAAAATACAAAAAACTATAGTAAAAGTTGAACACATTTGTAATTTTATATTTACACTACTATTAAAAATATGATTAAGATTGTAGAATTCTCTTTTGACTAAAATACTTATTTTTGAATTTAGTCCCTATTTAATTGTGAGATTTAAATTGTAAATTGAACTACTACTTTTCACCACATTCAATTCACTCTATTTAAATCTTACATTTTTTTTTATAAATGAACAAAAACAAAAAAAGATACACCAAAAAAATAAAAACATTACAAAATGAAGCATATAGCCAAGTAGTAGGGGTGCAAATGGATCGGATCATGATTCAATTTGCTCCTTTTTGTTGAATTCGGATATCCTCAGTCCGGATCTTTGGGTCAAATAATAGGATTTGATCAAAAGTTGGATTGAATTCGGATCACTCACACACAAACATATATGTTATTTATTTATTTAGAAATATATTATTTATATTGCATTTTTGTAAATTTGTTATATTATTTATTTTTTATAAAAATGTATATATATGATGAAAATAGTTGAAATAATACTTGTATTTTTTGTTTTCTTCATTTAAATTGTTATAGTTTAATTTTCTTTTAATATTTTATTATTTTTAAATTAAATTAGAATGGATCAGATCCAAATATTTGACTTCCTCATTGGATTCGTATTCAAATCCAAAAATCCATGTTTATGAGATGTGATCGGATTTGGTGTTAATAATATTGGATCAGATTCGGATATACCCCGATTCGAATATAATCCAATCTATTTGCATCCCTTCCAAGCAAGTAGGCTTGTCAATGATAGCTAAAACTTCACAACTCAATCAAATTATCACATATTGGAAATCCCTATTTCATTGTTTGAGAAAGGGTATAAAAGTTATTTTTATTGTAGCTTTAATGTCAACTTTAATTGATACTAAAATGCCATTGTTTGTCTATTTAGTGCATCTCTAATTGTAAGGGTAGAAAATGTAACTTTAATTATTACTTTCCACCTCATTTAATCCCCTCTCATGAAGTCTTATAACTTTAAGTATTAACTCATATTTTCTCTTATTAAATCATATATTAAATTATTTTTTACTAATAAATGATATTAAATAGATCTATGCCAATATTTTTAGCAATATAAACATGTATATTTTAAAACTAACTCAATAATAAAACCATTCTTTATCAAAGTGGTGGCTAATAAATTCAACCATCTGAATCAAATTGTTCAACTTATATAGTCATAGTTAGGTAATAACATTTTTAAAATAAAAATAAATATACAAAAATTACAAAATGTAGAAAAAATTAGACACATTTATGATATTTTTATTAATGAAACAAAAAAATAAGTGCAATAAACAAGAATAATTTTTTGATAATTAAAATTAAATAAATAATTTAGATTTGAGCAAAAATGAAATTATTTTACTGTTTTGGCAAAGATTAATAGTTCAACTTTTGGGTCAAATTTGTTAGTATTTAATGTCATAAATAAATAAATATTAATAACATATAAAAGTACAAAATAAAAAAAAATGAATAAATTTTGCAAAAGAACATTCAAGCACATGTATAATATCATATAATTATCATATTAAACAAGAAGTAAGTGTGACATACCAAAATTATTTTTACACATAGAAATACAAAAAGAATTTTAGAAAAAATTGAACACATCTATAATTCTTTATTTACACTATTATTAAAAATATGAATAAGACTACAGTATATTCTTTTAACTAAAATACTCAATTTTAAATTTAGTTTGTATTTAATTGTGAGGTTAATTGTAAATTGAACTACTATGGGTGTCAATTGGACTGGATTTGGTCTAATATGATCCAATTCAATGTCTAGATCGTCCAATCTGTTCAAATTCATTTTAATTTAGATTGGTTTCAACCCAAACCCGATCCATTTACACCTATATTCTTTTCTTATATCAATGGACTAGATATTGGCTTAATCCAACCCAATTCAATATAAATTTATTACGGACAGACTAGGTCTAATCCAATCTAATAAATATTTTGGACTGGATTGGTCCAATCCAATATGTCTTGTTGGTCCGTCCAAATTGATTTTGTCTAGTCCAAAACCGGTCCATTGACACCCTTGCTACTACTCTTTCACTGTTTCGGTAACACCTTAGCTTGTTGAAGTTGCCACTTGATCTGCCTTCGTGGCCAATGACTTCGGACCACGTCAACACACGTCATGAAAAGGCCTCCTCACAAGGAAGCAGTCTCGCATGAACAAGGAGACACGACCCACTAGGGAGAGTGGGACCTCCCGAGAACCTTGGTGGGCGACCTCATCCCGACAACTCATTAAATTCCTCGGGCCTCTGATTCTCTATGTTCTTGCAGACTACAATGCACAGTCTCTTCCTTTCACCTTAACCTTGTCCAATTGGCAAGATTATCTGTTGCGTATTCGGCTCGACATACCTTGCATCGAACAATATCATTCATTGCATTTAATTATCTCTATTTAAATCTTACATTTCTTTGATAAATGAACAAAAAAAAACACAAAAAAGATAAAACATTACAAAAAAAAGAATCTAGCCAAGTAGGTAGGCCTATCAATGATACTTGAAGCTTCACAACTCGATTCAATAATATTTGGATGAGGTTTTTTATGTAATCAGATTTAAATTTTGCAAATCTGCATCCTATATTGATAATAAAAATTATAAAATATAAAAAGGCTTATTAAAGAATTCCAAAGTTTCCATGGTGTAGGTCCCATTTTTATAGATGAAATAGGTTGTTAAATACAAATTAAACCTAATTTAATTTTTACTTAAATAAGAATTTTAAAATGAATATATAGTAAATCTCAAACACAAAATGATATGCCCCATACTTGGTACACGATCATTTTCTGGTGTATATAATAAATGATAGCCCAAACAATATAAAGCCTTTGCTCTAGACATGTGGGCACCTGTCTCGAAAAAGAATATCTAGTGAGTGGTGTCAGTAATTAACTCCACTCTCTGTAAAAAAAGGTACTTAGTTCAGAGATGTGGCTACTTAAAACAGTCTACTTCAAATGATGTGAGATACATCCTAATCTTTTATATTCAGTTTCCTAATTCAAATAAAAGGTTCACCATAAAAACTATCAATGGTAAAACTGCTATCTAATCGAGTTCTAATTGAATAGTTTAGGCTTGAATTTAACTAGGCTCGAATCAAGTTTGATTTTAATTGAGCTCGAATCAATTTCGATTACAATTAAGTTTGAATCGAGTTCGAACATTGGGGTAAGTTTGATTAGTTATTTGAGTTTGAGCTTCAATAATAAAAGGTTAGATTTGAAATTTTGTGACTTTGACTCGATTAACATATACATACACATATGTATTTATATATTATAGAATATAAAAATATATTTTTATATTATATATATTAAAGCTTCCGAGCCAAACTCAAACTCATTGAATATTTAATTGGGTCGAGCTTGAACTAGAAAATATAGTTCAAGTCGAACTTGAACCTAATAGTATTTTAGTTAAGTTGAATCAAGACATGCCAAAGTTCAACTCAACTCAACTCGGCTCAATTGCACCATAGTCAATGGTGTGGGCCTCATTTTATCATGTGAAATAGGTAAACAATTACAAATTAAACCTTATTTAATTACTTAAGTTAAACAAGAAACCTAAATCAAATTGCTTTCAAACAAAATAATAGGCATAATTGCAACGTCTCTACTACAGTCAACAGATTGATAAAAGCAAGTGAATGACAAGGATTTACATGTCCCTTAAGGCTGTGTTTAGTAACCATGTACAATGACAACGTATCGGTAAGGACTAAGAAATAAGAATAGATGCCAATAATTAGGGCTGCAGATTGGTTGGATTTATTCCACAGAACCAAACTACCTGAACCAATTATACCGGCTCTGGTTATGTGATTTTGTCCCATTTAATAATTGGGTCAAGACCCGTTCTTGCTGCTTCAAACAGGTTCAGATCCAAACCGATTATATATAGTTTATAACATATCAAGGCCCCCTGGTTTTTCTGTAGTTTTTGTTCAAAAATAAAATTTTAAGTTGTTATCATAGGAAATTAGGGCCCATTTGGAATCAGAATGGGCCATTTCAATTCCAACTGTTTGATTGGACAGAATCAGAATTCTATTCCCATTGCTGGTGGAATGGCATCCCCCCATTAAGGGAATGGCCATTCCCTTCCCCTCCCTTTAGAAATGAATTTCCATTTTAGCTGATTTCAGTTCCCATTTCGATTCCTGTCTGAATCAAACAGACTATGAGAATAGACCATTCCAATTCTGATTTCAATGGATTTCGATTTTGACTCTGATTCCAATTGTGAACCAAACGGACCCTAATAGATGTTAGGTTCTAATTAGGTCAGTCTCGATTGTCCCGAACAGTTATGGGGCCATCTTGTAAGACTTGATGAAACAATGCCATGCAGATAAACAAGTAAATGCCAATTACTACAGCAGCTGCTGCGGTATAGAAAAAATGCTGTCTATAGGCCAACCATCTTCTCAAGAAAAATTTGAACCCAATGGAAAGAAAGCATTCCATCCATATGATTTAGTTAAGAAAAAGCAACAGATGTGTTTGTCTTGCAGTACACTGTCCCATGTTATTCAGGATTAAATGCCTCTTCAATTACTCATTCCACGGGCATGCCTTCTCAAACACTTGCTGTTCTTTGCGGCATAAATCAAACTCGTTGGTATGGTAATACATGCAACCTGCATATGCATCCATCTCTTTCGTGCACCTCTGATGAAGCCCTTTCAACCTGCAGAAACAGAAAATCAGGAATTATATTATTTTGAAATATCAGTTTGCGATGCAACTTCCGTGGCTCTGGTTGAGGCATTTATTAAATTTTAAAGGCCAGGGCTCAGGCCTGATGCAATGTATCTTCTCATGCAGGGGATGGGGATGGGATGCTTGGTGACAGAAGAAGCATGTAACATGGTATTTGAAAAGGTCACTTGAATTGTAAAAGTATTTATCATCCGAAGAGAAAACCAAGTCGGTCAATAAGACCACTCAGTTAAATTATGCAGTTGACTAGTAAATTGGGGATGGTCTACCAAAAACCCTAGCAATTAAAAACACACATACATGGAGCTGGAAGGTCTCCTTGAGGACCTTTTAGGTTTACGAGAAGCAATAAAAACATATTCTGGATAATATAGAATTTCTTTTAGAGAAAGAGTAACTGATTGTATTGTTGATACATATAGTCTCAGGGAATAAAATTCATTATTCAGAAGAAGTTGAATCATGATGGGTAGATTGGAGATCTTTAAGAAAATGTTGATTCATGGAAGCAGTTCGATGCCTTTGAGTGCATGAATACAAACAGAGGGGGTCTATTCTCTCTAGTGTAGATCAACATAGCATCTGTGATACTAATGCACTTAATATAGCAAGAAGCATGCACAATCTCTTCTTTTTGGCATATAGAAACATGGCACAATTAGGGGCTTCAAAAAGGATTCTTGAGGTATACCAATATGAACCAACCCAACAGTCCATGAACAAATAATTGCAGAGTTCAATATACATATACAACTAGCCACTTTAAAGCATATTTTTCTTTCTTTAAATTGGGTTAACTGTCATCAAGAATGCTCTTTTTGGTCATGTATAAACCACATATAAAATGCTGTTTCATGTGGCCCAAATTTCAGAAATTTTCTTTTAGATTGTTTTTGGTTGTATACAAAATAAATGAAAAAGAAAAATGGTATTCAATGGGAAAACAGATCATTTTCATAATTTTCCTGGTGTTTGGTTTAAATTGGACAAAAAAACCTACATAAAAAATATATGGGTATTGTGGGATTTGAATCAAGAAGACCAACCTTCTTTTCAGCAAATGGCATTTTGGAATATTAGAAAGATTGCTATTCTTATAGAACTAATTCTATAACCATTTGTTTACCAGAAAAAAAACCCATGACCATTTTATGTGCAGCCAGACAGCATAAAATAATATTTTCTGTTGAAACCAAGGTTCAAAATATCGATACGCCCGATTCGCCAGTAGGGGCGAATCGGGCGAATCGATACTGCATTTTTATACTTTTTTTATTTATTTTTTGCAACCGGTTCAGGGGGGGCGGTTTAGGTCTCCTCCACCCCATGAACTAGTCAGACCCCCGATACACCCACTGTAGGGGCGTATCGGAGGGGTCCCGGAACGATACGTATCGGCCAATACGGGCCGATACGTGTCGATACTTTGAACCTTGGTTGAAACCATTTCTCCTCTATTTCGTGTGCAACCAAATGAAGGCTCAATCAAAATAAAAGGTGATTTGCAACATATCATCAGTAAAATGGTTACTCAATATTTGAACTCGAGAGATATTTTGGTATATTTGACCAGTAAGAATATTATGGGAAAAAAATAAATAAGAAATGCATGCATCTTTGGATTCCCTGGTCTACTAATTCTCATGTTGACACCCTAGCTCAAGGGGTTAACAAATGGACTTTGGACAGGCATCCTTTACATAAAGAACCTTCTCACTATGTTCGAGGCTCTATCAGGAGTGATGGGGATAGCAGCAGTAATCTGGCTCTGTTGTACCATGTGGAATATATGAATATACTCACTGTAGTTACACTTTATATTCCTTTATCAGTAAAATCATTACCAGTTACTGATAAAAAAAAAGGTAAGCATATCAAACCTTAAGCTAACAAATGGACTTTGTTCACTCCTGATTTTGGCTCATTAAATGTTTTAGCTATTGCAAACCTTAAGCCACTTCAAAGTTCAAACATAAATCCTTCATTTTTCTAACTTCAACTCCAAACTTGTATTGAGTCATTGGTTTCAGGGCACAACTTGCATCACATCCTTTATTCTGTCCACTCCCTCAGTTCAGCCCATAGATGCTTTACCTATTGCAAGCTTTTAGCCACTTAAAACACAAATCACCACCCTTGAGCCACCTTCCACCTGCAAGTTTCTGTTATTTAAAGATCTTGCTAGTCTTAATCCTTGCAAAGCTGCAAGAATATGTATACCCCAGGTAGAAAAAGGGCCATTATTCAATGTTGATTATCCCAGGAGGCAAAAGGCCTAATGTTTGAAAATTTTCTCACAAAGTGACCATTCTCAGACTGAAACATACATTGTCACACTAATCAGCCAGATATTTCAGGTTCTGTTAGACTAATTAGTAATTAGAGAACAACATAGTGTTTGATAGGCAGGCCAGCACTCTCTCTTTCTCTCCCCTCTCTATTTGTGTTGGCTATATTATTTCTGATGTATAAAGATTCATACTTATCAATACAAAGAAAATGAAATATACAAAAGTACAATGTATGTGGTTCATAATCATGACTGATTCTCTTTTGGGATCCATCTACTTCATGTCCTTGAAAGCAGTCTCAATGATAAGCGAGTATGTCAAGAAATATTCTTGGAAGCAGTCTCAATGTTTTTTTTTTTTTTTTACTGTGTTTGATAAGTAATTGAAACCTTTTATTAATTGTTGAAAAAGAATGCTATGTACACGAGATAATCCAGGTATCCCAAAATTAGGTTAGCCCCGCCACCTAACCTATGATCTTTCTTTTTCACTCTACATTGTCATTTAAATCCCTTGGGACAACTCCCCAGAACATCTATGCTCTATTTGATCCTTTGTTAAGCCAAACTATCTGCCTAACCATTACAAGTTTGCTGAACCCATATGAAGGTGACTTCCACTTCTCTAGCTATCTGCCTGATTTTAAAGTAAAGTACTTAATGTTTCAATCTCTTCAAATCCCCAAAATACTACAAATGGGATATTTATCTGTTAGAGTCGACTAAAGAGGGGTATTATAGTCTTTTCCATTTAAATAATGTGCTATCTATATGTCTCATACATGTGCAGGGGCACTTCTGTCTTTGCATACAGTTATGTTAAATTTAAATAGATGGTCGACTGGGTTAGACTCTTTGTCTTCTCAGTTTGCCACTTTTCTCTATTTCTTCTCTCCCTTCTCTCTCTTCTCTCTTTTCTATCTCTGTTCGACTGGACTTCTTTCACATGGTATCAGAGCGCCACTAATATAGGAAGGTTACAGCTTCAATCGATCAGCTTATTTCCCTCCCTCTTTTTTATTTTATTTTTTTTTATTTTCGTTTTTTTTCTGGTCTGCGCAATCTGGAGTAGGTGGTGGAGAAGGCTGCGGCGAAACCCAGATATCTGCGGCAATCCATTTGACAGTCCTAGGGTTTTGGTGGCTTGATTATTGGTGAAAGGGGGAGAGTGTGACAGTCCTAGTGAAAGAAAAAAAAAATTTGTGGACTGCTGTCACCATGAGTGACAGCCATGGTGGTCGAGTAGGTATAGTCGTGGTGGTCTGAACACTCTAATGAGCAGTTTCAAGAGGGATTTTCTGTGGTTATAAAATTGCCTGTTCGCAGTACAGTAGTGTTCAAAGTGGCCGAATGTATGCTAGGGCAAGTTTGTGGTGATTATGAGTGTGTTGGCGTAGTGTTTGAATATCTATATATATATATATATTTTTTTTTGTGACGGGCAGAACCGGCTTTGTAGATTGAAATGGCATCGATGGGTGATGCAAGTGGTGACCAGAAATCGAGTGTGTTGATCTCCTCTGATTTTTTAAGTGTGCAGATGACATCCATCAAACTCAATGGTGAAAACTATGTTCCATGGGCCAAGTCGGTGGAAGTATTTCTTAAGGCTAAGAAGAAAGTGAAACATGTACGGGAGGAGAAACCTACTGCTGAAAACTATTTCAGTGATTGGGAGCAAGAGGATGCTTAAATCATGACGTGGTTGTGGAACAATATGGAGCCTAAGATCAGTGTTAACTTCATGTTTTTAGATACAACAAAGGATATATGGGAACATGCCAAGAAACTCTATTCTGGACTAGACAACACTACAAGGGTTTATCATCTTTATCAGGAATACTTCAGTTTGCAGCAGGGAAATCAGACCCTTGAAGAATATTATGCCAGTATGAAAAATCTTCGGAATGAACTTAATGTCTATCATCCCTTAACTCCAGATGTCAAAATTCAGCAGCAACAAAGGGAACAACTAGATGTTACTTGGTTCTTGGTGGGGCTGAAAGCAAAGTATGAACCTGTCAGAGCATAGATATTGGGGGGGGGGGGTCTGCTCTCCCTACTCTAGAAGAAGTTTTTGCCCGTCTCCGTAGGATATCTCTTAGCCCCACAGAGAGTAACATACCTCCCGACAGATCAGCACTTGTTGGCACTCGAGGTGGTTCTTATGGACACAGAGGAGGTGGTCGTATAGTTAAGGGAGGCCGTGGTAACCTTGCAATTGGTCGTAGTAGTGGAGGAGATCGTGATTTAGGGGGAGGCCATGGCAGAGGAAGAGGAAGCACTACTAGGAAACGCACACATTGTGGGAGAGGACACACAGTTAACTTCTGTTATGATCTGCATGGCCCACCATCCACATGGGCTAATCATGCAGTTGTTGGTGGTAGTAAAGTCAGTGATACTCAACCAGTTGATTCAACATCTTCTACAATCACAACTACTTCTAGGAAGGAGATTATGAGTATTCCAAAAGAGGAGTATGAGAGATTCCTTCAAGCCACTTCACATCAAAATACTGCCACCCTTGCTCATTCAAGTATGGCTTGCCTAGCATCCAAACCTTCACCCTGGATAATTGACTTTGGAGCCTCTGACCATATGATCGGGACTCTAGGTGTGTTTTCCTCCCTTTCTCCAACCTTCACATCAAATAATGTTACCCTTGCCAATGGATC